TAGTAGTAGTAGTAGTAGTAGTAGTGTGTGGTGGCGCCCGCACCTCCATAGGCATCAGTGAATTGTGCCCGAGTACATAAGAACGTTGGACAGCACTGATCTATGCCATCATATGAGAACTGGAGTGACCATGGTCACCAGACCTGCGCCACACAATTACTTTCGGAGTGCACACGCTCCCCTCCCTAAGGTATTTCGTGAGTGTATTCTCCTCGCAATCGCCCAGGATTACCCCGCAAATGATGTAACACAAAATGGCGCTGCTAGTATATATAAGAGTTTAACGTTACGCGGAGTGTTTCAGTGTAGCATCAGTCTGAGGAGTAGATAGTGGGTACTACGGAAGAACAGTAATTTCCAGTTGCTGCGTGATGGCTCTCCCAGAGATCAAATATACCAAGGTAAGGATGACTCAGCATTGAGATAGCGCCCTTTGCTTTTGTTGGGGTAAACAGCAATTTGAAGCCGGTGTATGAAACGAGCAGAATGTTTGCAACATGGAAGCATCTGCATATACACTTGGCACTGAATAAGAAAAAAATAATGCTCAGTTATAGGTCCTAGGATGAACTCGCCAGATTTTGCTATGCGAATGTTTTAATATGACGGTTCGTTCATAAAAGTTCATAATGTTAAGTTCATAATAATAATGTGAAGTATAACACGAGTTAATTTCGTGGTAATAATACTAATAATAGCTCAATTTAATATAATAATAATAATAATAATAATAATGTGAACTATATTTATGAAGTATAGTTTCCCTTTTTGACTGCAAACCACTTTTCATGTTTCGTTCCTTTCTTTTGCCCCTTTTGCTTGTTAAGCTCTTCGCCCCTCCCCCAAATTAGTCCGGCTCTTATAAGTCCTAGTCGGACAGGTTTTATGGCGCAAAATCACATTCTCAGAGAAAAAAATACAGCTGAGGTTAATGACACTGTTGGTGTTATGTCGCCATGAGCGAGGAGATGCCTATAATTCTTGTAATTAAAATATTTTAAGATAAATTAAAAAATAAATTAAGACATGCGCACAGCTGCAACATTTTCTGAATGCATTCATTTTTAAACAGTAAGGTCGTGCTTTGCCAAAATATCCAACGAAAAATAAAGAAATGCGCTATACGATTGTGTAGACGAGCACATAATATTATAATTAACGCACAGCGCCGACGATGGAGTAGGATACGTCATTTCTTAAATTAATAGTCATGTGAGCTTGATTGAACTAGAACTGTAGAATGACTAAGGAATATAATGTACAGATTTCGGTGATAGTCCTAAACAGTCTAGAACATTGCTAGTTGTACGAAAAATACCCATTTCCTCTTCTGAAGTGCTTGTCTCCTTAATTGATTTATTTTTCATTTGAAATGAAAGTTTTCGATAGTTATATTTTCTGTGACCTACTTAATGAGGTAAGAACTGGTGTTATTCAGGTACTGAAGTAAATATTTCTTAACAGGCAGGATTATTGGCTATGCGGAAGTGGAGGTGGGTGATTGTTGAAAACTTTTGATGGTCATGTGTATTCTGTAGTTATTCAGGAGGTGGGCATATTAAATATTCTTTGGAAGCGACGCCTTGGACTGTGTCTCAGCTTCTAGTCAACCCAGAGCGTAGACTAAACAAATTACTGTGTAGTCTCCCCCCCCCATGCGAATAGGACAGAGCTGCTGCTGTTTATGGCATGATGCGCAGGCTGGCAAACCAGAAAACGGTTTAAATAAGAAGGTTTCGATCCCGGGTCTGGTCAAGTGGGATTTGTGGTGGACAAAGTGGCGCTGGGGCAGGTTTTCTCCGAGTACTTCGGTTTGCCCTGCCAATCTTCATTCCACCAACTGCTCCACAATCACCCTCACCTATCATCTGGGACTGGTACAATAGGCCAGAAGTGGCCGCAGTATAAGGGACTTAGTCCCACCCCATTAGCATTAAAAAAATGTGGTCTGACGGCGAGAGTGTTCACGTTATAGCTTTGGCAAGCACTAGGAGTCAACTGGGGCTACCGCATCCTTAGGGAGAATACTTGCAGTTTCTGTATATTTCCACAGGTATTCATTAGTTTCATAAGAAAGTATTGTTCTAGGCAACCTTGCTGTTTCCATCTGTTAAATTAGTCGCACCATACATCGAACTTGCCGATCACGGTGGCCGCGCGTCCTAAAACATGAACTGTCTTCTCCCGCTCGAACACTGGAATCGTGGGTTCGAATGCCACTCGAAGCAGGGATGTCTATGTGTGCATTTATTCTATGTTTGTGTTGTTCTGTGTGTAGGCAGCGGTCTTGCGACGGGCTGATCCCCCGTCCGAGGTGACCTACCGACTGTGTATAGGATTAGGAAACTGAAAAAATAATAGTGGTCAGGGCCCAACAGAAGGCTGTATAGCCATGTAAATAAAAATAATGAAATGCCTCTAACTTGCCTACCGTTCGGCGAACCTGAATATCCTTGAAAAACTGGAGGGATACAACATTGGTGTCATGTGTAGGTGGGTGTAAACAACAGACTTGCAGCAGTGCCAACACTCTGTTACAGCCGACTGGCAACAACACGTCAACTTCACGTGTGTGAAATGTCGAAAAGATTAGCAACAGTAAAGCAAAGCTCAGTGTGCCTTTTAAAAGAGGAAATGGATTTGCAACAGTATTAAGATAGAGTGCGACAAGCTGGGGGAGTGTCTGTGGGGAAGCCATGAGCGGGAAGTGGGGAATTTGCAGCCAGTTTCTAAGTCCCACTGATGAAATAGCGGTAGGCAGCCAGGAAATTCTGAAACAAGGATCGATCCAGACCGGTGAAGTGACAGAAGGAAACAGCCACGCAGAATCGAAGCACGGATTTTACATCAAGAAAGATGATCTGAGCGGATGGCGTTAAGCCAACAGGCGTACTGTAGGCAAGTCCACAGCGCTGCAAGTAGTCTACACGGCAGGCTTAGCATAGCGAGGTGGATCGAACGTGCTGCAAGTGGTCTACGCGGCAGGCATACAGCGAACACCGAAAAAAGTGAGTGCCAGCACAGTCTGTGCCTAACTTTTATCCAAAATTAGATACTGAGGTCGTAAGGGCGGAAAGAAATAATGCACATATGCCATAATACATATTTATTTAATGGGCGAGGCTTTAGGAGGTATAACTCTGGCGGTGATCAAGCTAACGGCCGGTCATGTGACTAAGCTGCCGTTGCTGTATAAGATGGGCATGATCTGCTTTGCGAAGCCAGGACTGGCAGAGGACTTGTATATAGTGGAAAAGCAAGAATTTTCAATAACATGGTATATGTGTGTGATACATACACTTGACGAAAGGCCAAGCATATTCATAAGAGATAAACCCATCCTCTCGTCAGAGAGGATGTTACATGAGGACTATGACCGCAAGGGTTCGTTTGAAGAAATAAAATTTGTGGTCGTGAACCTCGAGGGGCTTGGAGCCAAGACAAACTGATTGGCCGTAAACTGCCAGTCTTAAAGTAACACTGACATTGACATTAATTCAGCTGTGAGAAGGTAGCCAGCCGTCAATGGCGTGAGCGCGGAAGCTGAAGAAGCCGTTACCAGGAAACGACAAGTGCAGACACAGAAGACTTTACATGTACTGTAGTTACTAGAGTGTGGAAACCAGAGAGGCTGTTACAGTTACTTACAGTTACGAGTTGTGTGTATAAGTGGTCACCAGTCCAAACCCCCGCCTGTAGTCACTCCATAAAATCGTGACAGTACTCTCCCTAAGGGTGGGATAGCCCCGTCTCACTTGCAGTGCTTGCTTAAGTCTACGGTGTGAACTCTCTCACAGTCAGACCTTCACATCCGAATCGTGTCTGGTTCGCCAGCTTGAGCGTCTTGTCATAAACAATAGGGGGTTTGTCCTGCTCACATGTGGTGGGAGCACATATTGCTTATTCTAAGTGCTGGGCTGCCTAGACGCTGTGAGCCGGTTCAAAGCTTCAAAACAACAGGTAGAATGCCTTCCTCCTGTACTCTGTATAACTACGGAGTACATACGCGTATCGTCACCACACAATCTGAACAATGCATCCACCTCCCTCAGGGGAGACCAATTTACACCTTACTTGGTCTCAGAAACAAAACTTGGAACTACATACCCGGCTGGACCTGCGTAATTCCAATTCTGCATTGGGTGCATTTATTTCTCGTATTGGAACATGTTCTCCGGTCTAGAAAACCAAAATTAACGGCCGTGGGGATTCGTTGCGCTGACCACGCGACACTTTCTATCCGAAAAAGTTGACGCTAAACTTCGCCGAAAAGCAGTGGTCGCTCGGTCGGTATAGTTCGCTTGCGGACTAAAATCACGGAGTCAGTTCGTTAATGGAACGTCTTCTTGTGCCATAGCTAACTCTCATTACCTGATCCTTAATATTCACTGTACTACCATATGTATATGCGTCTGGTATGGTATTTATGTAATCTAGCCTTCCTTTCAAACAGTGATACAGTTTGTGTATTACATACACTCCAAATGGTGAGTAGCAAAGCTACAATAATACAGAGTAAGAAGCATGGGACTTTGCGCTTAATCTTTTCTAGTATTGCTCCATGATGATGCGCTCTGCTTCAGAAATCTTATGGCTTGCCGTATTTAAATCATCCAAATGTGACATAGTGTGTTTAAAATTTGTATTCAAGTGTATGGAACTAAGGTTGAATTTGATGCTTAACCACTCACAACACCCATATTCAAGATTCACTTCGGACATCAAGCACTTTGTTTGTATCAAACTGTTCACCGTGACGACAGAATGTGTTTGCAGTAGAACAGATTTACTTTAACCTCTGCAACTAATATTAATTCCTATTTTGCCCATTCCAGTTAATGCCATATCGACTGGGGCCCTGTCAATAGAAAGAATTTTAATGATTCACTTGTTGGGATGAAATAGATTTATTCATTGCTTCCAAGTTGTGTCCGTACTAAATTCGAAAATTCTATTGTGAGTTTCTTCCAGCTGGGGGGGGGGACACTTTTTCTAGGTTGCAACAGTTTTAACGTGCATTTCTCATGTATTTGAGACTACAGGAGAGGTTCATTATGCTTGCAGACGTATCATTTTTCATAACAAAGCACTGTTCTGTATAAGCTTTCTGTTGTCATCTACTAATTAAATCCCACCATACAATGAATTCGCTTACCGCTCTGCGAACCTGAGTATGCTTTAAATACTGGGATACAACAGACTATAAACTTTTTATTTTATCAGTCAAGTTTTGGTGAGATGGTTAAAAGGTGAAGTCCCTATGAATAATTAATTGAGCAAAATGCCACGAGATCATATCAGGGATTGAACGTATATCTCCACCATTCTTAACCTCGGCACCAGATGGAAGTGAATGGTCAGCTTCACACCCCTACCACTTTACCACCGGGAAGCAAGCCCC